TTAGTATTAGTTTTAGTAAAAGGTATGAATAACAAGAACTGGGCGATAATTTGGGTATCTGAAGCTCTCAAATGAACAAGAAAACATCACACGTACCAATAACAATACAAAGGATATAGAAAATGACCCCGAACTACCGCGACCCCACTTTTAACGCGGTCGTATTTCGTGATCCCTAACTATCGCGTTATAAGAGGCTTCTACTGTATTACAATCTTTAGTGATAGTTTTTCGTTCAGCTTTTTCAGTCTGTCTGTTAATTTCAGTTTGTTTATAGCCTTTCTGTAACATGTAGAGTATTTTTTTGGATCAAAGCGCTTGAGTGTAGGTAATATTCCGTTTAGTGTGGTGGAGTATCAGCTTTTTTCTACATACGTTATATTGTATAAATCAATGTGTAAAATTCCGTTATTTAAAAGGATATTGACGTCAAGAAAGTTAATGTGAGTAATCAAAGGTTGATTGTTTTGTGAAAGGTATTAGCATAAGAGCTGGTTTTCAAAAAGGCCCTGAAACGTGATTTCATAGCCAGGAGTTATTTTGGTGGCCACTGTCGTACCTCTAATCTAAAGGTAGTTTTCATTGTGAAATTTGAAGTTGTTTACATATAAGACTTAGCAAGGTAGGTTACATTTTGAGATTTTGGTGGGTTGGAAAGGTTTAGGGTAAATGTTACAGCTTCAAATCCTTCATAATGTGGAACGTTAAATATAAGAATTATCTATAATACACAGAAGACTGTTAGAAGGTAAATGTCCATTGACATTGGGTTTCTTTATATCTAAAAAGTGAGTTTATGTAAGAAAATGGAGAACAAGGGATATCTTTTAGTGGTGGTCAACAAAAGTATAACGTTTCTCAGTGACCTTGTTTGTATTAGAAATGATACGGCGGCTGGAATTGTTAGGTTTGTGTATCTTGGTAACAGATAAAATATACCGGACAAGTCTGCTTGGATATCAAGTATTGGAAGGTTTGATTCTTTGTCTGTTTGTTCGTTTCGGAGGAGCTCTGAAAGTTTATCAAAGAAAAATGAAGTAAACTGAACAGTGAGAAGTTACGTTCATCTCGTTACTTCACTGTTGCTTCTGAGAGTGATTAAAATTATACTAGTATTTTAGAAATAAGTGACAACATCAGGGAATTTACGAGAGCTTCTGATAGATGACAACAGTGATACTACTAGTTTAAAAAAGCAAACTACCAATACAAGTTATTTCCATACAAGTTTTGAGAGTTTATTATAGAAAGTTCGAGAAAACTCTTGTGTGAAAAGACAAAAACTTTTCAGTCCTGATTTATAGCAGTTCAACATATGCCTTTATCTACAAAAATTGAAATTAACATTATTTTGTAAGCGTTACAAGACACTGTTGGATGAGATGATTATGTGTTAAATCATCTTTTCTCGTTAGGCACCAATTAACAAAGGGAACGTAATACGTTCTTCAGAGATCACGTTTCTCTGGAAGGTGTTGTTTATCTAATTCATTAGTCGTCTTTCTCTCTAATATACATATAAGTTTTATGATGTAAATGAAATGTGCTAAGATGAACGATTTGACGAAATTTATAGGACGATAGTCAGTGTTGAGAATGATTAAGTACGACACAGTATTCCTGGATGCTACTCTGGAAAGGTAGAACATTTAATAAATGTAACGTACACGATATTATAATCAGAAGTCGAATATATTATTTAGGAAAAATACACAAAGTGAAAAATATAGTTAGTTTGTTGTATATGTTATTTTAACAAGGGAATCCATGTTTTAACGTATAAAACAAAACCAACTCCAAAATATAATCACGTTTGTTATATATATATTCTCAGAACAAAGGAATGATAATAAAATCATAGCAAGTGGATTTAGGTAACATAACCCAGTGGATTTAGATAACACAACCCAGTGGATTTATGTAACACAACCCAGTGGATTTAGGTAACACAACCCAGTGGATTTAGGTAACACAACCCAGTGGATTTAGCTAACATACCCAGTGGATTTAGGTAACACAACCCAGTGATTTAGGTAACACAACCCAGTGGATTTAAGTAACATAACCCAGTGTACTTTTTTATCATAACCACGTAGGTTAAGATAATCATCAGTTATAGTCAACATTATCCAGTGAATTAGTTAATTTTAATCCAGTATATTTAATTAATATAATACAGTGAATTTAATGCTAATCTATATATTAGAACTGTCTGTTATATGTCGATGTAACTACTTCGCAGGTTTTGGAAGGAGCTTCATCAAATTTGGTATAGAGGTTCATTGGGTTCATGGGGAGCAACTAGAAAAATTTATAGTTTCACATTTTGTGCTTTGCATTTTTTATAAGGGAAGCAACTTTTCATGTCCTAAGATAACCTTTCCTTAATCATTAACTTACATGACCTCCGTCCAGCTAGTAAAATAATGAGTGGGCAAAAAAACGATTTGTAAGCATAATGAAGTGATTTATTTTTGGAGGGGGGGAGGGGAACAGACGCTATATATAACTAACATAATCCAGAGAATGTACTAGTTTGTACTTACGGCTGTCGCACCAACTGTTAATAGTTTATACGATCACCTGAGTCTAATCGTTAATTCTAAATCCCATTTTATCCAACGTTTTAGCTTTTAATTTGTTGGTGGATTTAGGGTAGCCCTGAGAAGGACTATTCCTGTGATTTCAGTGGCTGGAGTTCGATCCCGAGTCTGCTTGATTGAAAGTATGTTTGGTTAACCACTTGAATGGTGTATTCCCATTTAGAACTTGAACCAAGTGTTTAAATGTTTTCAAGAGGGGTATCCAGGTGTTGCGACTTCTGTGCTAGCTTCGCTAAGAGCATTATCAGTTAGGTGAATGTAGAGTGTTTTTTTTTTGTCTATCTTTGTTTTGTTTTTGTGGTTACTATTCACTTATTTTAATAGTACTCCATTTAATTATATGTTCCTCTTCTCTGGTATGAATAGGTATTACAATTAGATCGGTATTACCGAAATTTGTGTTTCATTACGTTCCTGAATTTTAAATTTGATTGGTTGTTTGATCGGTATTACCAAATCTGGTGTTTCATTACGTTCCTGAATTTTAAATTTGATTGGTTGTTTGATCGGTATTACCAAATCTTGTGTTTCATTACGTTCCTTAATTTTAAATTTGATTGGTTGTTTGATCAGTATTATCAAATATTTGTTTCTATTACGTTCCTCAATTTTAACTTTGATTGGTTGTTTGATCAGTATTATCAAATATTGTGTTTCTATTACGTTCCTCAATTTTAAATTTAATTGGTTGTTTGATCAGTATTACCGAATTATGTGTTTCATTACGTTCCTGAATTTTAAATATGATTGGTTGTTTGCTCAGTATTATCAGATATTGTGTTTCTATTACGTTCCTGAATTTTAAATTTGATTGGTTGTTTGATCAGTATTATCAAATATTGTGTTTCTATTACGTTCCTGAATTTTAAATTTAATTGGTTGTTTGATTGGTATTACCAAATCTGGTGTTTCATTACGTTCCTGAATTTTAAATATGATTGGTTGTTTTGTTTCTCCAGTGTACGTACTGGAATCTAAATTCAAAGGGGAACTTGTAAATGTTTTTCTTCTTCATTCGGCACCAAGTTAATTTGGTTGTATACTAACTGTGATCGTATTGTGTTTTGACTTCTCGATACTTTTTCAACATTATGCTGTGAGACCTCTAACATAGTGAAGCATAGCTATACGTCTGTAATGATATTTCTGTTTACTCTTGGGTTTTGCTTTCGTTATAAGTTATTTCATTCTGACGGAAGGTTGTACTGATGTGATGTTTTTCCTTCTTACTGTAGATAACGCATCAGATTTCCATCACGGAAACACAGGATCGAATCTTCGCCACCACCAACACAGAAATAGTACGTTTCAGGTCTTTCGAAACGTAGTATAAAATCAGTTAGTAATTAGTAAATAGACTTAGTTGATTGTAAAGGCTAGTAACCACGAAAAAGAGCATACATTGAAGTGTATTGATTCTATTACCTGTTAGAGACGGTTTTACTGAAAATACATATTATATTTTGTCTTTTTTCGTATTTTTTGTTGATTACCTAGCGATATTGTGTTTCAAACTTGGGATTTTTCTATCGGGGATATTACAAGTATGGGGGCATTTTCCTTTAATGAAAGTGCATGTATGAAAACAGATTCAGAAGATGTTCTTGCGGTTATTGGATTCTAGTTCTTTTTCAAGAATAATGAAATAGATTTTTAGATAAGTTTTTAATGAACCAAAACTCTAACTTAAACTTAAGCCTACTTTTTTTTTGGCGTTATGTATCCCAACTCGAATACCTTAGTTTAAGACAAAACTTAAGCCTAATTTGTGTGGCGTGTATCTCAACTCGAATAATTTAGTTTAAGACGAAACTTAAGCCTAATTTGTGTGGCGTGTATCTCAACTCGAATACCTTAATTTAAGACGAAACTTATTAAGCCTAATTTGTGTGGCGTGTATCTCAACTCGAATACCTTAATTTAAGACGAAACTTATTAAGCCTAATTTGTGTGGCGTGTATCTCAACTCGAATACCTTAATTTAAGACGAAACTTATTAAGCCTAATTTGTATAGTGTTGTGTATATTAATTTATATCATTGTTGAAATCAAACCTTAAACGTATTAAGTGTGATAATGTGTGACAAGTGGCGAATTGAATGATTGATTGTTTTTTCATACTTGTTTTAAGTACATTTTGTTCTATTTGTGAAGCAAGGCTGATGGGGTTAAAAGGTTAAGTGGGGTGCCATTCTGTAAAGAGGGTGTGCGCCATATCAAAACACCTGGAACACTTCTTGAGTAAGGGCGGGTCCTGGTCGCGTCGTAATGTACAGCCAACGGACTTAGTAGAGGAACATCTGGGATAATACTTGCACATATCCTGAAGGTTCTGACGGAGCCGACCATGGGATAGCAGAGTTTTGTACAGTGTTCGGTAAATACGCAATCTTCTCAATGACGACTTTTCGTAGTCTGCGTTATTTGGTGCTGGTAGCGGCGATGTTGCTTGGCGTACCTTGGGACGTTCAACCCCGCAACCGCCGTTCTTACTGTCGAGAGGTTGCTCTGGAAGAACGGGAGGAAGTAGCTAATGTTATATTTACCGGAACAGTTCTAAAACTTTACCGCTCACAGACAGACATATATCGCGGATCAATTCGGGTTAAGCGTGTCATCAAAGGGGACAGTAATTTAGCAGAAAACACGATCATTGTGGACGGTTTCGGTGACCCGCGGATTTGCTTCAGTGATGTAAGAGAACGAGACACGCGCATTTTTTTGGTCAGCCAGCTACACGGTGGTCATCTTCGTCTGAACTCCAGTGTGATTCGTTTAAGCCTACGTAGTTTAAACAAAGCTATTTCTGCAGTCAGAGGTAAGACTTTTAAAACTACTGTTATAAGTTGATGTTCGTATGTCATACTTTTTGAGTTACTTGTGAACTTGAGAATGATTGAAACGTTGTACTTGTTTTAATACAAATCTTACTTACTATAAAAGCTGTAACTTGTAATAATATAAAACGTATTGTTACTTGGGTCTTTTACTAACACAAAGTACTTCCTTATTACATTATAATGGAACGTTTTGAAACAAAATGTTACTTGGGACCCTCAGAAAAAAAGAGGTTAAGTAACCAACTTCCTTAGTATATTGTAATGGATCTTTTTGAAACAAAACGTTACTTGGGACCCTCAGAAAAAAAGAGGTTAAGTAACCAACTTCCTTAGTATATTGTAATGGATCTTTTTGAAACAAAACCTTACTTGGGACGCCTTCAGAAATTTGGAATCAGCCTTCATAATCAGCATAAACTCCATATTGGTCTCGATGTCTTCCTACACTTAGAATCAATCATTATAAACCAGCATGAACTCCATATTGGTCTCGATGTCTTCCTACACTTAGAATCAATCATTATAAACCAGCATGAACTCCATATTGGTCTCGATGTCTTCCTGAACTTAGAATCAATCATTATAAACCAGCTTGAACTCCATATTGGTCTCGATGTCTTCCTACACTTAGAATCAATCATTATAAACCAGCATGAACTC